ATGAACGATCGAATGTTTCGGCCATGGTGATGTCACACACACACACACACACACACACACAAACAAACACACACACATAAACACACACGCACACACACAGTTTTGAAACGCCAAGAATCTTTTCTCCTTGACCATCCTGGAAGCACTGACAGTGAAAATAGATGTAAATCATTTTAAACTGCAATCACATCAAGTGACGTGTGCTACATGTTCGTTAAACGGTATCACTATTGATGCTTGCTAGGGAACCTGCCAGTTTTCTATGGTGTTGATCTGTGGTGAGGGGGAGGGGGATCGTTGCCAGAGATTGATCGGTTCCTGTTGAATACGGCTGTGGTTCTGAGAAACAAAGAATGTTCCATTTTTGTTCTGAGCTTGCGTCGAAGTGTTTTTCTGCTGAATGTGCGGAGGCAGAGTTGGAAATTTCTTTTCTCAAGGAAATTAACAGTCAGCTGAGAAGATTAACCCAGTGATTTCGGTTTGAACGTAACTCCTCTAGAGCGCTATGCAAATTACCAACCCGTTCCACCACTGCCCCCTGTCAAAATTCACATTTTGATAACGCAATCATCAGTCTGTTTCCTACCGTTTTGACTATTCTATTCTTATTTCACGTACACTGTTTTAGGACCAATGTGCTACTTCTGGGTGTTTTAGAAGACACAGAAATATACCTCCCTACAAGCGTTTACTGCCAGGTCGGTATTCAATTTAAATTTAAATTAATAAATTCAAAACTTAGGTTCATGAACGTCCCAGAATTACTGTCTTGAAAATAACGTCACCTTTCATTTACGTAAACGCCGCCAGAATCGAGAAGATCGTGTACAGAATGCTCAACTTTTCGGAAAGAACTTCAAACACTAAACAGGCGTTTCACCAGATGAAGCAGAAAAATATACGCGTAGGTCAGGTAGCTGAATTCATCAGCACGAAGACTAGAATTGAACGCTGCTTCCTTTCAGTGTTGCAAATTCACATTCTTCTTGGGCATTTTAAGCCATTAGGATCTGACAGAAGCTCAGTTCGCCGCGTCACTGACGAACTGATCAACCCTTTTACTGCATTATATAAAATGTTTATGTTATGAGTTGAAATATGAAGTTACAAAAATGTGCTGTATTCACTTATGTTAGTGACTCTTCCCTCTAATCCTTCCTTTGTTTTATCATGAAACGCGACGCTTCATCAGTTTTCTCCGTTATCTGCACTCTTCCTCAATCGCTGGCTGAGTAATTTGACAATCGAGTTGTACCCACGTGTTTTTGGACCCCCGAGGGGGTGTTTGTGGTCCAGTGGAATCCGTTTCATAACTTGTAGCAACTCCGATTACCTCACATGTGAACCACATGGCGTCGTAGAAGGCAGCGACTAAATCTGTTACTCCATTCCATTAGTCGAACTCAGGCACTTGAAACTTTGTCTTGGAGGAGCGGCATGCGCATTTGTTTGCTCCCTCACTCTCGACATGATGTTTGTTCCCCTCTGCTTTAGTAACAGATCAAAGGGGCAGGACGGCTGAATCGAACAGTTCATTCTTCGCGCGCATGGGAAGCTCTCCGTCGAGTAATGATATCGTAACGTGTTTAGTCTTAGGTCCCACCGACATCGCCTTCGTTCTGCTAATTTCCCTCAAACTGATGCAACCTCAATGACTGAGGAATGCGCAACTGAGAACTTCTTCAAGTTCTTTATCCACGTCAATAGAGCCACCATGGCAGTTCTAGTTTTACAGCAGTTTCGTCTTAAAGAGTTTGACTTCCAAATGATTCGCACGCAGCAACATGTACGGCTCGAAGGCAACGTTCGTAATGAACACCAGGTGGCTTCAGATATTAAATTCATGCGAGTGCATCTTTCACTGCTGTTGCTCAAGTGTCATGGAGCCATGACCTGCTTAAATGACCTCGCCCCCCTCTCTCCGGCCGCTGCAGAAAATTACGAGTGAGGACGGTGCAACGCACTGTGAAAGTTAGCCTTTTTCCATGAATTCTGTGTTATTACCTACTATATTCAACATAATTTAATCCGAAGGTTGAGTAATTTGTTTGTGCGTTAATTTTCGTATTGAAAAATGAAAAATGCATAAAACGGTTTATTTATACACAACGCAAACGAATAAGTTTGTCAGTCGGATGACTGACCAGTACTGATGCTTCGGTTCGTCTCTCACGAACCTTGGTCATGCTGCTCCGGGTTGGTTTTGGCGGTTAATTGCGTGGTTTCCAGCCACTGTGGCGTCTGGAGCCAAGGCAGTAAAAATTCGATGCCAAGTGATTACAGTTTTATTTAAGAGGAGTTTTAATGAAACTGAAAAATAAAAAAACGCTTAAAACTTTTAAAATAAATTTAAATCATCAAGTCCCCAAAACTCCGCCATGGCCGGTCCCAAGCCCGGATGAGAAAGGAGGAGGGTTGGAGACCGTGGCAAGTC